TTGGTGTGTGTGTGTGTGTGTATGGTGTGGTGGTGGTGTGTGTGTGTGTGTGTGTGTGTGTGTGTGTGTGTGTGTGTGTGTGTGTATGTGTGTTTGTTTTCCACATAAACATCTTGTTTTCTATGTAGACCTGATTTTATGAATAACTTGGTTATAGGAATGTCACTTCCGGGTTTTTTCTACTATCTTCCATCTTACATTTTGGTGAATTTGTTCTGATAATAGATGAGATGCACGGACTGTCCATCGGGAGAAGTATAATTAAAAACCTTCACATGGCTGGGAAACAAGGAGAGGTGAATGACTCACCGTGTCCTCTTTCCAATTATGAAGATCCATTATATGATGTGAATGAGCTTCGTTATATTGCATCAACTGATCAGAAGCAGTCTTTTGACATCCGATCTGTGATTGCTCGAATTGTTGATGGAAGCGAGTTCAATGAGTTCAAAAGGTTGTATGGCACGGTAAGATCATCTTTTTTCCATTTGAAATGTTATTTGTAGTAATGCTGATTGTTGCATTGAGCATATGAAATTTACAAGCGTTGGTTCTCTTCTTTTTGTTTGCAGACTCTTGTCACAGGTTTTGCGAGGATATTTGGGCAACCAGTAGGAATAATTGGAAATAATGGCATCTTATTTACTGAATCTGCGTTGAAAGGGGCCCATTTCATTGAATTATGTGCACAACGTAATATTCCATTGATATTTTTACAGAATATCACTGGCTTTATGGTACGATCTCTTATCCTTTGACATAACCAAATCCCCCATTGATATTTGCAACAGTAATTGGAATGATTAGAATAATCTCAAGGGTCTGTTTGGAAGAAAAGCAGGGTGACTTGTGTTCTGCTCAGACCGCTATCTGCACTTTGTAGATTGTGATCGGATTAGAACTAGTTATTTCCAAATTCCGAGCGACTTGCAAGAAAAGCAATCCTGTTATAAGGACGTATTATACACGATGCTTCCTTCTTGATAGGGACACTAGTAAAAACCAATGAAGTCCAACAATATGGCGATTATACTTCAAGCCTCTATTCCTGAAAGGAAGGCCTCTGTAGTGCTCTAATATAACTAACATCCTCGATAAGGTGCAGAAACCAATTGAATGAAAAGTCCACAGAGGTTTGTTCAAATGGGGAAAAAAATATCCTGAAAATAGTCAACAAAATACCTTTCCCTAATATTTCAGCTTCAAAGAATGAAGATTGGGGTCATATGACACAAACATCTCTTTTGTCATGTTCCTTGAAGTTAAGTCTTCCTTCAGAAGTGAGGAACTTTACCTATTATGCTTGTTGTCACTTAAATCTTTTGACATTTCATTGTCTACAATGTTGTATGAACCAATCTGTAGTTCAATTGTTCTTCAGTGTATTTAGTAGTTTAATTTGTTCCCATTTGTATTGAGTCATGAAGTAGAATAAATTTGTCCATTCTATATTCTATTGGCATCTCAAATAATAACGAAATTTAGGATCCTTAATATCAATTCATTAAGGCAATACTCTATTCTAAAATTCTTTTGTTATTTAATTTGCGATGCCTTGACTGATCATGAAAGTAACTTGTTTGGAGGTTCGCTAAATTCTTGTAAATATTGTTTAATTACAGGTTGGTTCAAGATCTGAAGCGAGTGGCATTGCCAAGGCTGGAGCGAAAATGGTGATGGCAGTCTCATGTGCCAAGGTTGCATTTATTCCTATACATAATACACTGAAAATATGTCATTTAGAATCAATTCATTTTTTTTTCTTCCCAAGGTTAGGCCAGCCCAGGTTTAGTTGGGTCATTGAATATCTCTTCTATAATGAATTTTCCAGATTGTTGTTGGATTTTGTATTGAGGCATGTTTAGGTTGGCAAACTTAGTTTATTTTCATTCTACTTCGATTTTTTTTGCCATAACATGGTTATCTTGGATGTGAATTACTACTTTCAATCATTGCTGGTATATCTTCAACTAAAGTAGATGAGGAATTTGGAGCTTTGGCTTCCATGGTTTCATGTGCATGATAGCTCTCCTTTCATTGTAATTAGTTTGAAATGAACCTGACATATGGAGTGGAATATTAGCCACTAGATTGCCCAGGGATTTTCTACAACAATAGTGTTGCATCGCAACGGGTTTAGATCAAGTATGTTATCTTAGTAATGTTCCAAATGAATGTTTTGAATCTTAATAATTGCACAAGGCATGTTGGGTGAGCTGCCAGGGTATGCCTTTTCTGCTAGAGATTCGTACACAGTTACAAATCTGGTAATGACATGTACAGATACATACACAATACAAAATGATATGGGCTCATGTTTGACCAATCAAGATTCTGACCAAAAGAGCTGCTCTCACGAATCATGACTTGATTTCTGCACTAGGGAACCTATTGTTTCATAATAGCACCTTAGAGTCAGGTTTAAGATTGCTGACCAACGGAAGAAAAGTTATTAAACTTGATACTTGGACCAAAAGTTATGCTGAGGATGCCCCAACGTCTCTTAGACTTTTGTAACTAAATCCATTACCATAGAAATATATCAATCCAGAGTTCATTGCATGAAGAATACTATGCGGCTTTAATATGGAGTAGAGTTCAAGGGCTGCAAGTGTCCAATATTGTTGCCTTGTGAGAATATAATTGCTTGAAGGCCATTATTATGGAGCAGGCTAAATTTGCTGAAGTTCTAAGAGTGGGGGGACGCTCTAGGAAAGAAAAAAATTGCCTTGAGAAAAAAGTGTTCTGTTTCAGAAAGGCATGGTGGTAAGATAGGCAAAGCTCAATGACAAGAAGGAGGATGAGTAATGAGTATCAAGGAAACTAGGATGATGGAGGTGGAAAATAGTTTCACATGCATAGTATGATAAATGCTTAGGGAAAAGAAAAAGTCTGATTGTAGAAATACAGAAGAAACCAACAATGTGCTCTGGTGTAATGGCAGCTCAATCTGGGGATGGAGGAGGCAGATAGAACTTATTTGGTGAAGATGACGAGTTTGATCCTTTAAGAAGGCATGCCAATGATGAATTAAAAGAAAGAAGAGTCTAAAACCAAGAAGGATTGGCTTGCGAGAAATTCAGAAGAGGATAATTTTTACTTGGTTATGGCTGAATATGTTAGTATTACCTTTCCATCTTGACCCACAAGCATTCATTGTTGCTTTAGGTATAATATGTTGCATGTTCCACTTGTTACTTATCTTGGGATGTACGCTTCATAGTAGCTTTCAGGTAACTGGGCAGACATCCATGCTTGTGTCCACTATATTTCTGATCTTGGTTCCATCAGATCGAACCTCTCTTGGTTGGGTGTCCTTCAATTGTATAGTCTTTGAATTTTCTCTATTAAGTGTTGATTAATTTTCTGAAAAAAGCTCAATCCTGTGGTTTTCTATAGGACAAAGTTTATATAGAGCTGAGGCTCTAAACAATCAAATTGGAGCGCACCTCAAAAATTTCACTAGAAGAGGTTGTTTTGATCCCCAAATATCCTCAAATTGATCATCTTGACATTAAGATGCATGTACATAAGGAAAAAATGGATTTCAAGTTTTGGAAATAGTGCATCTTGTAATGGATTTTTGGACCATCAATTTTCAAGATTTTCAAGCTTTCATAGATCTGCTTGATCTACACTATTCTTGAAGCTTTAAATTTTATAATTAGAGATGAAAATATATTTTAAGGCTATCACAAAGATTTCTAGTATTGAAACCACATTTCTCGGCACTATTTGAAGGTGCGCTCTACTTTGATTGTTTAGAGCTTTGGCTCTATACAAACCGCACTCTTTTCTATATGAGTTTGAGACATTCATCGATAAGCAACATGTGGATGCAGGGAGTGGACCGGGTGTGTGGGGGGGGTAAAGCTCCTTCCCTCCCTGCCACCACCAAATCTTTCTCTGACAATCCCAGGGTTGGAGCTCGAGTGGGCCTCGCTCACCCACTACAAGGGATTGTGGTACCAACTGAATGGGATCACAGTTATGTGTATATGTGTGTGTATAGTATAGAGGATGCTTCCTATCACTCCATATACATATGGTGCATTTGTCAGAGAAGGAAGAAGCTTCAACCATGGGAAGTTCCCAGGCTCCCACTCTTGTTCCCAACAATTGTGAGCAACCCACTTCTTACAGTTTAAAGTAATATTTGATAAGGCTTAGTAATCAACGGGTTGCCAACACCTTTTTCATCCAATTTCAACCTTTTTTTGCTTTAGCTATTACTTATGCCTAATTCAATACTAACTCTAGTAGCACATGGACAATAATCATTTTACAAAGAGCTTTCAATTGGCAAAGGAGCATTTAAGCTGAGATGAATATCACATTTAAGTACTAAAAATGGATCAATAGCGGACCCAAAGTGAGTCTTGCGGGAGCGATTGCAGAGTTTCTGCTGATGTGAAGAAGTGGCGCCTCCCCCAAGTTGAGTCAGGAGAAGAGGCATACTAACAGTCACTGTTTTCATTAGCAGCTTTTTGTTCGTTGATATGACAAAGTCAATTCTTGAGAAGGGGTTCTTAGAGGATTTACATGCAGTCATCGGTGCGATTCTCAGTTTGCACCATGCATTTGATGGTCAATCCCAAATAGTTTAGGTTGCTAAATGCTATGCGTTTGGCTAATCTCTGTCCTTCAGTTTTCATGAATTATTCAGTATCATCCATTATCTGTTCTGTTATTCACATCTCTTCATGTCTGCCCATTGTATTCGACTGGGATTCTGTTGCTGACATCCATTTTCTTCTCTTATGTTCACCTTACTCTAGCTGAGATTAGTTATAAATTTCTGCGATCTGATCTTTTGGCAGGTTCCCAAGGTGACAATTATTGTTGGCGGAAGCTTTGGTGCTGGAAATTATGGGATGTGTGGGCGTGCATACGGTCCCAATTTTCTTTTCCTTTGGCCTTCAGCTAGGATCTCTGTGATGGGCGGTGCTCAGGTAGTGCTACATTTCTTTTCATAATCCTGTGGGCTTCCTTTTGTTAGGCTTTTCCAATTTTTTGTGGTAATGTGCTGTAAACATCTGCGTCATTATGGATGGACTGGCATCAATCTTTTCTTAAATTATTGAATGAAGAGTTAGTTGCGCGCAAAGAGCTTTGGAATACTCTAACCGAGCAGAATCATGCGGTTTTAGTTATCTAACTCGCCACAAGAGTTAGGACAACTATGTAACCTTAGGACTTTAATGAAGTTTGTCTTTTCATGAAAAAACATAGCAAATCTGTTCAACCTCCTGTTACAATAATTTACAAATATTGGTCATTGCTTTCGAAAGGAAAAGATCAGTGAGACAGGGCCTCAACTGAGAAAATGTGGTTCCCCCTCATTTCTCTATATTTTGGATGATTAAGGACAGAAAAGTCTGCAAGTCCATCGTATGGAGCCCCAAGAGCTAGATCCTCGAAAAGAAAATGGATTTGGAGCCTTTTAGATACCCTTCTTGAATGCCTTCTCAACAGGGAACTTGGACAGTCCACTTCATTGGACCCTGGATCAGTCAGATTTGCACCATTTTAGAGTGCTAACCCATTTGTCTTGGGTGGAAATGGATTCACAGGATTTTAGAAGGTGTTTTAGGTCTTCGATCCATAAAAAAGATGAGTTTGATGGGGGCCAGCACGGTGTTGCATGAGGCAGGTGCCTCATGGTGGCACCATCCTTCGAAATTGTAGAATAGAGCAGCTTGGATAGAAACCTCATTTTCTGGGTAGGGGTGTTAATTGGTTGGGTGGGGTCGAGGTTGGCCCCGACCCTACCAACTTGGTCCTAGTTGGACCTAGACCCAACCCAAACCCGACCCATTGGGTCTGGTCTGGTCTAGATAAAAGAAATACAAATTATAAATATTTTATAATATATGATAGTGTTATATATATATATATATATGAGTAATGATCCTATGAGACCCTCCCACACTCATATGTGTAAGACCCCAAAGGATCACCTTTAAATTTAGCACAAATCTCTAGAAAAGTTATCACATGGGTGTGGGACTTGGCTTTTCTAGAGATCTGTGCCAAATTTAATTGCGATTTTTTGGGGTCCTACACACATGGGTGTGGGAGGGTCTCACAGGATCATTACTCGATCTCTCTCTCTATATATATATATATCAGACCAGAATCGATAAGGTCAAGGATGGACCCGAACCCAAACTTGACCTAGGTTAGGTCTGGGTCGTCCAAACCCAGGCCTGAACCCAGGTTCAATATCTAGGTCCAGACGCACACCCATGTCGGGTCATCCCATTGGGTGGACCCTCCCTAATGGAACCTTTTTTATGGGAATGGTCTTGTAAATGTATTCTTTGAAGAATAAAGGATTACGAAATTGAATATAGCAGTGTGCCGGAACTCGCCTTGGCCAAGGCCAAAGCGAGCTTGAGAACATGGCTGTGTCCTGCACAGAGCCAAAAGTCCCTACAAAAATGAAAAAGGAAAACATAGAAAATTTGTAGTAAAAGTAAAAAATCTGAAAAAAAAAAAGAAAAAGAAAATACAAAAATAGTGGTTATGACAAAAAACACTCACCAATCTTTCCAAATACATCTCGATCATATGAAAAACGTTTGTATAACATTTCAGCATTTTTTGTAAATATTTTTTACTTTTTTGAATTTATTTTTTATGCCCCGAGTTGTACACACAAGGCTACTTGGCTGCATCCAAGTGGACTCGGCCGAGGCTTGTCACATTGGGGATGTAGAATCTTGGACTTGCTGAATAGATGACATGAAAGTTCGGATTACTTCTTATGATACCTGCCATTTCTGAAAGGTTAAACTTCAAAAATTACATCCATTTTGTTGAAACAAACCCTGAAGATTATATTTTGTTTATCTGTTTTTTATCATTTAGGTTTATATACATATTAGCTTTAAGAATGCGATATTATAAGCTTATTATTGTGCTGATACTTGTTCTTTGGATGACTTTATCATAAATATGCAGGCTGCTGAGGTCCTTGCTCAGATTGAAAAGAAGAATAAAAAGTTGCAGGGATTGAAGGTAGTTCCTCCTTCTCTGGACCAAATTTTTCTTAAAATTCCGAAAGATGGTATAAATAGCCATCTCAAAATTTGTATAGAAAATTTTCTTTACCATGCACAACAACGTTATCTTCTTTTACCTTTTTACAGTCTCGTCATGTCATGCCCCAAGAGTTTACAATACTGATATTCCTGAGATGTGACAGTCAAAACCTATATACATCTCTTGATAGGACAAATTTACAGAAGCGAATTCTTACAAAGTAACAAAAGAAAGTTTAAGCACAACTACAATATCTTCCAGAGTTGATTCAGACGAGCACTCAAAATGAAACCGCAGTTATCTTGAAAAAATGTTTACTATAATTTGATGAGTTTGGCTACTCAGTAAGTGATCATCATAATCCTAAAAATAATCATGGTTGAAAGATATCAAAATTTTCAAAAAGGAGATCTATTAACAGAAATGCATTAACAGTTTCACTTTAAAAAATGCATAATTAAGTATAAACCGAATAATTGAAATGCATATAACATTTTAACGGCAGTGCATAATTCAAAGGATTTCACAAAATACCCTATTGACGTCCCAAGTAGGTCACCTATATACCCCATCAGCGTTTTGATGGGTTCACTTAATCCCTATCGGCGTCCCAGATAGGTCCACTTAATCCTTGCAGGTCTACTTATACCTCACTGGCGTACGGATGAGTCCACTTAATCCCTACCGGCGTACCGGATAGGTCCACTTACGCCTCATCGGCGAACCGGATGAGTCCACTTGCATACTTAAAGTATTTCTAAATCTCTTTAAACATTTGAAAGCAGCAATATCATGTACTCAACATATCATTGAAATTATTAATATGAATTTCACTGAAACCATTAATAACAGTCACTTTCAATAACATTTCAAAAATAACTAGTCAAATATTTTGGGTTCAAATTTAGAAAGGTAGCAGTTCGTAAAGACATTCTAGCATAATTGCCAATCTAATATGTATAGAAAAACTCTTATAAAAATTCACGAATACGGAATTATCACAATTTATGGGATGTCAATTCGCAAATAAACATTTCACAGACAATGCTATAATCAAATGCAAAAATATCAGTTTTCAGATAATAATGCAGTCATTTGCACATGAATTTTACAATGTCTAAATATTCAAAAACAGTAGAAAGAAATCTCACAATTTTAGTAAAAGCAGAACTATCACATTTATTTCTAATAATTTTATTTCTAAAATTTTCTAACAATAGATAAGATAAATAAATAAATAAATTTCTTTCTAAGAATTTACAACATTTAAAATTTCTAATATCATAATTTTATTAAAAAGATTTTTTTCAAATTAATGAGGTCGCTTGCGCATAAAATTTATCGTGCTTAAAATTCATGATAATAAGCAGAAATAATTATTTCATTTCATTTTTGAAAAGAACGAATTATTTTTCAAGATAATGAAGTCACTTACCTAAAATATTTGAGAAGAAACTTTTGATAAAAATTCGGCTAGAGAGAGAAAGATTTCAAAAATTTTCTAGGGTGAGAGTCCTCACCTCTCCTATTTAAATTCTTAAGATACTTTATTATATTATCTTATTAAGTTACACCTCATACATGAGGTGTAACAATTATATTACACCAGAACGTTTAAAGCCCACGTCCACTAAAGGACCCGACAAAGCAGCAAAAACTTAAACTAA